AAAAAATCAATAAAAAAAGAAAAGACTAAAAACATACATGTTGGTTGAAAAAAAACATTCAATCCGGAAATGCGTAGCCAAAAAAAAAACAATGGAGTAAATTATGAAAAAGTTAAAATTGCTCAATAGACTAAGCAGAGCAAAAGTATAAAAACGTATAGAAATAAACTTGTAAAAAAGTATTAAAAAAGGCACTTAATACCTTGAAGATCCATTAAAGTGAAACCTTGGTAGGTAGATCCTGGCTCATTAGGTGATATATATATATATATATATATATATATATATATATATATATATATATATATATATATATATATATATAGGAAATGGATTAAATCTGTCATATTATTATAGTGTAGACCGAAAAATATGTCTTAGTACAAGTGTTATGGGACATTACCCATAACAACATAATGGACATATTATTATATTTAATTTATTTTTTTGTTTAAACGTTATTTGATGGATCCAATGAAGGTTCCCCACAGGGAATGCAGGTTCGAACACTGTCAGAGAACACATATTTTTCTGACAAGTCTTCTCGTGGCCTGACGATTGCGTCTAGCATAAACAGCCTCTAAGTGTTGACTTCTATGTTCACGTTTATATTTACACACGCTCTATCTCTGATACTGAGCACTTTATCCCTTAAATATAGCACACCTTAAGACTATATTTCTTCATATATATATATATATATATATGTGTGTGTGTGTGTGTATATATATATATATATATATATATATATATATATATATATATATATATATATATATAATGAAACAAAAGAATTAAATAGTACTGATAATGTGAATAAGGTGAAATCAATTGGCTAACATGACTTAATGATACATTAACTTACTATCAATTTCTTGATAGTAAATTAATTCCTTATATTCGAGTTGTCAGAAGGAAGACATATACCGAATACTTTCAGCAATTTCAAATTGTCATTTTCAGGGCGCAATTTTCCCATACACAGGTAAACAATAAACCGAAAAATAGTGTAGACCGAAAAATATGTCTTAGTACAAGTGTTATGGGACATTACCCATAACAACATAATGGACTATTCCATACGTAATAAATACTGCGCCTCAAGAGGAAGCAGGGAGTTCCGTCTGAAGTCTGGAGTGAGGTCCGTCAGGAGTCAGTCAGTCGAGTCAGAGAGAGCGAGTCAGTCAGTCGAGTCAGAGGCAGTCCGAAACAGAGTCGCGTTCAGACAATTACTACTAAATCTGATTGTTCGTACTAACCCTTTCTACCTCTCTGTATATATTCCTGTTTGTAATATATCTGTGTCATTCGATATCCATGTTCGAGTTCTTTATTGGTTCTACCTTGGACTATCACCGTAGTACAAGGAACTGGACCATAACAACAAGTTTAAAATGATGATGATTGTATTATGTGATGATGATGCTGTTTAAACTAACACCACGTTCACTGACTTTATTAGACACATTGTTCTCCTATCGCTTTTTCTTCTCATCTCTCTACCTAACCTTACCCGGTATATTAACTTGTTCTCTCTTCTTTATGTAAGCCTTTTAAGGAAATTTTACTAAGTCAATCTATTTTTGCTATTGGCTCATTTTTTATTTTTTCCTTTCTTTCCTTTTTTTCTCCTTTTTTTCTTCTTCTCTTACTTTTAAATTTTTTTTCTTTTTTCTTCTTTTTTTTCTTTCCTTTCCCTTTCTCTTTTTTTTTATCCCGGTATTTCTGGCTGAATAGACTGATTCCATTTCTTAAAAACTTTCGCTCTGAAAAGATGAATATCACGATATTCATGCAATAAATTATAACCGAGACGGATTTTTAAGCTGTTTTGGTAATCTATCATTTCCTGTACTTCACTGTTACTAACAAGCAGGATTTTTTTCTCCTGATGATGGCCATGTCGGCTGAAACTAGTCGAGGAATCTAAATGAAATAATAAAACAAAAAATATTAATATACAACCTAGTGTATATATATATATATATATATATATATATATATATATATATATATATATATATATAAGTACATGGCTGCAATTGTATACCCGCACCCTCTCGTCTAGAAATGTCTGGCTGCGTTTCCGCTTGCATGCATCATCCGTTGGTATATTAAGCTACGCCACCACCTCATCTATTTTACGCTATGTAATACGCAAGTGTTTGATTGTTCTTAATAAATGAATTCAATCGATAAAACTTCTTCTGTAGTCGTTGCTCAGAGTTAAATTTTTTCTATGTTTTAGCCATTCAGTAAATTTCCTATGGCCGTAATCACTTTCAAATAGTATGCCATTGTTCACAAATCTAATAATCAAACAAAAACAGGGATGAAGAGTCAGAGCTTGATTCAATTGCAAACGCATGAACGCCCCCACCCTCTTTCTTCGCACGTTTACTGTAAAGCTGTGGTTAATAAGAGGTTCTTCGGGAATTTTTCACTTTTAACGCTTCAATAATCGTTCTCAAACAATATTTACATCAAAAGTTGTTCGAATGCCAATTTAGGATGAAATCATATGAAGAAACCATTGGCTAAATGACAAGAGCCGAGTTTGGACTTAAATTGACGCAGATCTCCTCCACCTGAACTGAAATAATCTAAACCAAACATTTACGCACGACAATTTGTGTGTCATATTTAATTTACATGGATTTACATAATTTAGAAAGCATTGAATGAAAAATCAGGGAGTTATGGCTAAAAAATGGGCTTTTTGAACAGTTTTTCGTGATTTTCCGTTTATATACGGGGAAGCAAGCAGGACTAAAACCACACCATCTTATTTCTTGCATGATGGCAAAATGTTTGTGACATGTTTGAAGAAAATCAGATAAAAAATGATGAAGTTACTCAAGTTTTTATTTTAAGTAGAACGAAAAACCCTATTTATTCAATGTTTTGCAACTTTTTGTGTAAAGCCATACTCGCAGGAAAACTATCAAACACTCTACATAAACCTCGTAACATGAGCTATGTTTTGCATTAAGTACAAAGCACATTCGCCTATCCAGTAAAAATTTTGTTCGCGTGTAACTTTCTCTGGGTTTTTGCAAAAGTCGTAGCCCCTATATATATATATTAAAAAAAAAAAATCGGAAAATATAACTCCGGGTATATCCGTAGTTATATTTTCCGATTTCTTTTGAATTTGTCGGTCTGATGAATTGAATCGGGATTACGATTCGAATGTAATTAATTATATCCATGGAATATTAGTGTTTGAGCCTTTTATATTATACGAGCAGTAGAGCCCGGGGATGTAACAGTAAGAGATAGATCAAGTATCGACCATCATAAAGTCTGAAAAATAAAATTGACAAAGATTATTGTTTAAGGTTGACGGACACGCATGTATTTATTAGTTTTTTTTTTGTTTTTTTTTTGTTTTTTTTACGAATTGGTCAAACCCAAAAACATTGTTTACAATCGTTATGAGTCTACCGATTGAATAGAATTTTATTATAAACAATTGTCTTGCAAATGGAATTTTTAAAGCATTCTGAATGTAAAAATAAAGAAAAAAGTGTGCAAGACAATAAGAAACACTAACTGCCAAAAAAAAGTGAAGTTTTGTTGAAATCGGTTGAAAAATGTAGGAAATCCGATCCCATATATAAACACACACACACACACACACACACACACACACACACACAAGCTTTTATAAGTATAACTCGATATGAGTTGTTCCCCTTTCATTCTCGCAACAGCGATGCCTCTTAATCGTGTTTTCAAATTGATTTCGTGCAAAAACAATTGTGTTTTTCCAATTTTTGGCGCTGTCAGAACCACCGCAAGGTAATTTTACGTAGTCCTGTGAAGTTTTGTTGAAATCAGTTGGAAAAAGTAGGAAATACGATCCAATATATAAACGAACAGACACACACACACACACACACACACACACACACACACACACACACACACACACACACACACACAACCTGGGTTTTATAATAAGTATGATTCTTACTCTGTCCTGGACATTGACTTCTACCTAGATTCTATCCTCTTGGGAATTTACACACACACACACACACACACACACACACATATATATATATATATATATGAAAAGTTTGTCTGACGATCGCTAAACGTGAAATCAGGTCACAAACTCACATCTATCCAAATATAATATATATATATATATATATATATGTGTGTGTGTGTGTGTGTGTGTGTGTGTGTGTGTCTATATTGTATTATCTATCCATATATATATATAAAAAAGATTAAATATATTTTGAAATGAGCTTGAACATTTCACTCAACATCAGAAAAGTAATATACCTTGATTAGTTATTTATTTATTAAACTTAGGATAGTCTGGTACGAGGCCACAAATTAGGAGCTTTCGGAAAAATTTGAATTTTCTTCTTCTTCTTCTTTGTGCTGCATCCCTTGTGGATATGGGCGACCGTAGCTCACTACAGCTTCTTATCCCTTGTTGTTCTTAGCAGTTTTTCTCCCTTTGATAATGGGTCCCACCCTCATTTCCGACATTAATTCCTACAAGCTCCTCAGGAAGGTGAATCGCTGCCTTTCCTATATTTCTCTTGCCCTCAATATGCACCCCGTGACGGTTTTTCCAAGCACTTATTAAAATCCAAGAATTTTTATCTGTCTCTTCCTGATTCTGAATGAAGGAAGAGTGTGAACCGGGCGATAGGTGAACCTATCCACTCCTGTTTAATTGATTAAACTAAATAATAAGCAAAGGATATGGATGGAGTAGGCTGTAAAGTGAGAGGACAGCAAGTAAGAAAAATGCCAAATCTTTATGGGGTTCAAATGATCGTCGCTAAAATGCAAGGATGATTATTGCTTTTTTTTCTCTGTTCCGTCACCAGAAATTGATGTGTCACGTGATGTTATCATTAGAATGAATGAACGTTTTGAAATATTTACTTAACAAATCTTAGCCGTGATATTACGAGTTACATAAATATTTACTTGTTATTATAAACTGAAAAACACCGTTGGCGCAAATATTATTCCTTTCGACGAGCCTCCGTTTTTGAAACGCGGGAAAGAACTTGTTTCCGCCAACAACTGTTTCTCTGCGTGAAATAAGAAGACCTTCCGGAAAGTATACGACCATTTTGAGTTTCTCGGGACGGAAATTCGCAACAAATAGAGGAGACAAAACTGAGAAGGCATGAAAAAAAATCGTTGTTGAATAAGATCGTTGTGTCACGATCAAGCGTAGATTTTTGTCAAAACATCGCATCACCTAGGAAACGCTGAAAAAACAAAAATATATCTGAGCAAGTGTCTGCAAAAGGGATTAAATTGCTTCCTTAACAGACTGGCAAACTTGGAATTTATTCCATAAATATACAAACGGGTTTTGAATTAAAATGTTTTAATATTTTAACAAATCTCTAACGCTGTAAGAATTTGAAATTTATAATTAGAGTTTGGTCCAAGAAGTATAAATATGAGATCTGATAATGATTTCAATCGATTTATAGAACATGTGGCACTGATTAACTTTTCGAAGCGAAACTCTGGAGTCGGTCAAACAATAAGTTAATTGAACATCAATGGATTTATTGAATATTATACGCCAGTTAACTATTGAGTGATTTTATTGGCAGAGGTTCCGTTGGCCTGAAAAATATGTTCAAGACTACTAATTTTGACGTATTTTAAATAGGCGTATTTATATATATATATATATATATATAAGCAAGTGTAAATGGATATAAATCCGACAGAATGAAGAAATTTTGAAAAAAACAAACAAAAATCCTTAAATGTAGTTAAATGAAAGAAATGTCGACGTCTGACGTTTCGGTTTATTAAACCTTTTTCAAGACAATATTCATCAAAATACAATTCAGTTCAATATGACAAATACGATGGACATAAAAACACAAGTCTTATTCAGAACAGATAACTGAAAATTTTTAAAATGATCAGCCTTCCGTCTAACATGGTCACGCTGTCGTCACATGGGCGACGCTTTCATAACGTATTCCTAAAAGTTTGTGATTATTTTGAAATGAAAAAAAAAAGAAAATGAAAAGAATTCTATTAGGTTCTAAAATTTTTGTGTATGCTTGTCGAGCATCAATCTCCTAAAAAGGGGAAATATTAAAGAAACCAGGTCTAGTATTCACCGTGCGTGAGATGGATATTATACCTGCTTCATAAATCCTCCTGAGATTTTTATTATGAAAATATTTTAATACTTTCACGGAATCGAAATTATGATCTGCTTTAGTTGTGTGTACAACTAAAGCATTGTTAAAATTACCGAGACGAATATCTCGTTTATGTTCGAAAACACGAGATTTTAAGGACCTACCTGTTTCACCCCACATATTTTAGGTCACAATTTTTTTTGCATGATATTTGATAGATGCAAGCATCGGATGTAATATGTTGTCTGCTGGTGCTATTTAATAAACTACGGATAGTCCTAGTAGGTAATATAGTAGTTCTAATTTTTAATGCATTTAGATTATGAGAGATACGTTCGGTCAAATGGTTATTTGGTAAAAAGATGACCAAACGAAATATTATCAGAGGTAGCTGAAATTGTATCTTTCATTGAAAAGTGGCTTTGAGGTGTCATTTTGCGCTGATGAGTGAATTTTCAACGCTTTATTTTTAGCTCTCTGTAATAATTTTTTTCGGATACGAAAGATTTGAAAAGGTATCCTCAGTATATGTAAATTCATCATTTAAATATTTTGATGAACAGATGCGAAGAGCCCTCAAATAGAATCCAATAACAATACCCCTTTTAGTGTTAGTCATGGTGAGAGTAAAAATGTAAATAGTCATTTTTACATGTAGGTTTACGATATACTTTGAATTCTAATTTATTTTTATTTTTAATGAGTAATATGTCTAAAAAGGTAAGGAATTATTAGATTCAAGTTCATAGGTAAATTCAATAGTAGGTTCTATTCTATTTAATCTATCAGTAATCTCGTTTAAATCATGCTTATGTGGGTAGATAAACAAAATGTCATCGATGTATCGAAAGTAATGTGTATCAGGTGGAATGACATCTTTAAAAGGTCCAGATTCAAGAAATTCTAGAAATATGCATGCTAGGAATCCAGAGAGAGGACTCCCCATCGGTAAACCAAATTTTTGTTTATAATAAATATTATTATATTGGAAGAAACAATGTGAAGTGCAAAGGATGCATAATTTGATGCATTTCGGAGATAGAGATAGGTAGCTTAAAGTCAATTTTCTTAAGGTGGTTTCTAATTGTTTAATGCATTTATCAACAGGTATATTAGTATATAAAGATTTGATGTCTAAGCTAGCTAGTAATTTGTTATCTATATCAATATTTCTCAACTTATTTAAAAAGAGAGCCTGAATTCTTTATATGTGCGTTACTTACGGTGCCCAGAATTGGAGTTAGAAATTTAGTTAAATACCTAGCGATATTATGAGGAGCTGAGCCTATACCGAGATGATGGGCCTTAATGGAATGTTGCTTATGGGTTTTGGGGAGGCCATAAATTTTAGGGACGGTCGGGTGGTAGTTAATAAGGAAAGCCAAATCTTATCTTCATTACATATGAGTTTTTATAGGACCTATTAAAATTCTTTTAGATTCTTAGAAATTTGTATAAGGTGATCTGTTCATAAGTGTCTCTGTCATTAAGCAAGTCCAACATTTTCTGGTTGTAAGCAATGGTATCCATGACAACAACACCGCCTCCTTTATCAGAAGGAGATATAATAATGTTATTATTCATAGATTTTGATTTTAAGGCATTCATAAACCTCTTAGGTAAATTGAATTCCATATTTTTGGCCATTAAAAGAGGCAGCTAAAATGCCTTGGGTAAAATTTTTAAGGAAAAAGAATCACTATGTTTGTAGTTTATATTTATCAGTTTGCAAACTGGTTCAAAAAGACCACAATATTAGCAAACTGATAAATATAAACTACAAACATAGTGATTCTGACTTTCTAATGATAGATTAAATAGAATAGAACCTACTATTGAATTTACCTATGAACTTGAATCTAATAATTCCTTACCTTTTTTAGACATATTACTCATTAAAAAAAAAAAATAAATTAGAATTCAAAGTATATCGTAAACCTACATGTAAAAATGACTATTTACATTTTTTCTCACCATGATACTAACACTAAGAGGGGTATTGTTATTGGATTCTATTTGAGGGCTCTTCGCATCTGTTCATCAAAATATTTAAATGATGAATTTACATATTTGAGGATACCTTTTTCAAATCTTTCGTATCCGAAACAATTATTACAGAGAGCTAAAAATAAAGCGTTGAAAATTCACTCATCAGCGCAAAATGACACCTCAAATTACTACAACTAGATCAATGAAAGATACAATTTCAGCTACCTCTGATAATATTTCGTTTGGTCGCATCTTTTTTACCAAATAACCATTTGACCGAACGTATCTCTCATAATCTAAATGCATTAAAAATTAGAACTACTATATTACCTACTAGGACTATCCGTAGTTTATTAAATAGCACCAGCAGACAACATATTACATCCGATGCTTGCATCTATCAAATATCATGCAAAAATTGTGACCTAAAATATGTGGGTGAAACAGGTAGGTCCTTAAAATCTCGTGTTTTCGAACATAAACGAGATATTCGTCTCGGTAATTTAACAATGCTTTAGTTGTACACACAACTAAAGCAGATCATAATTCGATTTCGATTCCGTGAAAGTATTAAAATATTTTTCATAATAAAAATCTCAGGAGGATTTATGAAGCAGGTATAATATCCATCTCACGCACGGTGAATACTAGACCTGGTTTCTTTAATATTTCCCCTTTTTAGCGAGATTGATGCTCGACAAGCATACACATAAGAATTTTAGAACCTAATAGAATTCTTTTCATTTTTTTTTTTCTTTTCATTTCAAAATAATCACAAACTTTTAGGAATACGTTATGAAAGCGTCGCCCATGTGACGACAGCGTGACCATGTTAGACGGAAGGCTGATCATTTTAAAATTTTCAGTTATCTGTTCTGAATAAGACTTGTGTTTTTATGTCCATCGTATTTGTCATATTGAACTGAATTGTATTTTGATGAATATTGTCTTGAAAAAGGTTTAATAAACCGAAACGTCAGACGTCGACATTTCTTTCATTTAACTACATTTAAGGATTTTTGTTTGTTTTTTTTCAAAATTTCTTCATATATATATATATATATATATATATATATATATATGCTAAAAAACAGCAATGTTAGTGCGACCAACAGAAAACATCCCACAAGGCCTAACTCCTTAGACAAGAAAAAAATCCAATCGAACAAAGACAGAAAAAAAAAACAGCAAAATGCAAACACATACTTATGCAGCAAATTGAAGGGCTCAACGTTTACACCCGTAGGTTCCCCAAAGTGGTGCGTACTCCCGACCCGGTTGGGGGGGGGGTCATTTAATTTTTAAGTATGCAATTCGAGAATAAATTATTAACAGTGAGTCTGTGTGACTTAATAAATATGGTGCATATACAGTATGCATACATAAAAATAATTGTGTGCGTGTAGGTACATATGTAATTACGTATGTACTATATATATATATATATATATATATATATATATATATATATATATATGTATGTATATTAGTAACACTATTTTTAGAAATACAATGATACGTAAGTGTATACGTTATTTTTATAGGTACAAATATTTAAGTGAATGCTATATAGTCTGACGTGTTATACCATTTAACTACAGAGAAATCGTCTGGTTTGCAAGGTGAAATTACTGTTTTTGAACAACAATCTTCCCATGATTTTTCTCGGACGCTCATATCTGCTCGAATGTAAACTAATCATATATTATGAAATGAACCCAGTCTGACAATTATTTTAATATATTTTTTGTTTATACGTTATTTTAATAGATGCAAATACTAAATGGTATAGCATGTCAGGCTATATGAAGGTTCCGTGTAGGATACAGGTTCGCTTCTTGTCGGAGGATACA